GTATGTACGTCAAATTAGTCTATTCACGTCATATTTGGACAAAATCACTTCACCAACTCGTATAATTGAGTGTTCAATCTCATATAAAACCTTTTATTTATTTATATCTCATATAAAACCTTTAATTATTTATTTATTTCTATTTAGTTATTTAATTATTTATTATCTATGAGGATGGAGTTTTTTGTTCAATATCTTCACCCCCCCCCCCCCATCCTCATAACTCCTCATTGTCATTGCGTCTCCTGGTAACCTAACAGAAGCTCAATATAATGTAACCCACGTAAATACAGCTGCTGAACCTGAAATTATTTCCACGTTTGAGTCGGATCTCATTCTGGTTTTCTATAATGTTTTAATTATTAAAATAATCATGAATTTAGCAGTCCTCAGCTTTAAATTAAAAATACTCTTTTAACTTTTGTTTTCTTATGTTTAAAAAAAGATACTTATCAAAGGACACATCAATGGTGGTGAAATACTTCCCAAATGTTAGTGATTCTGTGGTTGAAAGGATACATTACGTAATGTGAAACCATATCTGGAGTTTGTAAATCTTTTCAGCAACATGAGTGATTTGAGTCATGGTTCTTGGATTTAGAACAACATAGCTGCTGTTTAGACAGAATCTCTATTAATCTCTGAATCGATGGAAAGGGTTTAGCAATATTAAAATTGCCGAGATATTGCAATTAGATTAATTTTCGGAGAAATTATCTCTGGCTATCTTGTTATTTTCCTTCTCGCTCAATAACCAACTCTACATATCTTTTTAGTGTGCCTTGGTATATTAGATGGAACATTCTATGTGTTGAATCATCTCTTGGGGAATTCAGTATAATATCCAGTGAAACACCCTCTATGGAATCATCCTTTCAGGTATTCAGTATATTAGGTTGATCACCTTCTGTATATGGAAATGTGTTTGCAGGTACATGTATTCAATATATTATGTGAAACACTTTTATGAGTTTAATCATATGTTAAGGTATTCAGTGTATCGGGTTGAACAGCCTCAGTGAAAAGAATCATCTTGTATAATATGTGTTCAAAGACCACACATTTGTTTCTGGTGTTTGACTAATCGGATTCTTTTAGAAAATTCAGAACATGCATGTAGTTGAAGCTCGCATTCGAGATTAGGATGGTTAGTACCAATAGCGGGTTTTTATACAGTTTCTCAAAAATATATCATCATAAAACAATAATATTGTATTATTCAATACTACAATAATTTGTTTTTATTCAACATGCTATGTTTCTTTCAAACTAAACAGATAAATATCATTTAATAAGTGCCATTAACACTACGATAACATTGTACCGTTTTGTGAATTCGTTCGTTTTGGGAAAAAAAAAACTGAAAGAAAACTGATTTTGACAAGTGAATTCAGAAGTATGTGCAGAATACTTCATATGTAAATGTATTCTTATATTCATCGAGAAAACATAATTGGTTATATTTTCGATAATTTATTTGTTTTGAAGCATGACTGAAAACAGCAATGAAAACAATGAAGTTCCAAAATATATAACTTTATTAAATATTCCACCGTACTGAAAAACGAAAGAATTTTGGAATATCGAAAACGGCAAAAAAGTCTTTATCGCAGTATTCATTGTTTGTGTCGCCATCATTATTTGTTTGTTCGAACCGCCTTCAACATTTCCTTTGTAAAGAAATTCATTCAATTGAACCGCATTGAATTAACTTAACTTTTGTTCTAATAAAATATCGTGTGCCTAAAAGTGTCTCAGCCAGACATTGTGAGCACCATTAGGCCCAAAAAAATTGTTTTGTTGCCCTCAGCGACCGACCGAAAATATGAAATATCGGGTGGCGTTTTGTTTTGTTTTTATTTTTTTAATAGGCCCAAATATTAAAAACTCACCATTTTAAGCAGTAAAAAGGTGTTTCCTCTAAAAATTAACGATCCCGGACCGTTGTTTGATTCCGGGGTGATAAGTGGGGACTTTGAACCTCGGGTTGATCTTTATTATACTTACAAAAGACTGTGTTTAATATCTAGCATACGTTTGATTGATTCACATATACCTAGGCTATTTACGATACCCTTAGTTTTCACGAGTTTAAAAAAATATCCGACCGACCGACCCAATTATTCAATTTTCCGACTTGAGGGTAACATAAGGTGTTTCTTTGGCCTTACGCTTGACGAATGCTGGGCACGAGACACTAGAATTATTATTCAAATCAGCTTCATTTTTGAAATATAAACTAGAGGTCCCTTGAAAAATATTCGTGGGTACATCATCTGCGTGACTTGGAGCATGATCACATGTTGTCAACAATGTCACGTATCTGCAAATCAACCAACGTTGCAAACACAAACGCAAGCTTCACCTCGACCTTCACACACACGCATGCGCATTTTTAACAGCAATCTATAACTCTGGTGGGTATTTCACAAACTCTCGCCAGCTTCCTCTTGTTAGCCCATACATGCACCGCGTTCAGATTCATACGACAGAGCAAGACACGGTTTTCCCACGATTAATACCCTCATATATTTCAACCAACAAACGAGGTATACTAGTAGATTGTAAATACATATTTCATTATCAATAAAAAATTGCTTGTAAATAATTTCACAACTAATATATTATTATATAATATCGACATGAAGCACGTGTTGTTTTATTCATTGGACGGTGATATACCAAAATCAATCGGAATCATATTCTGGTTAATAATCTGTATTTAAAGCGGAATTTTCTTGAAATTTATTCAAGATGTATATTAGCATATGCAGTTCAGTGTGACATTAATCGGGAAATTGAAGTGCTGCGAGCCTTTATACAAAATGAGACAGCTTTTTATACAAAATGAGACATTTCGATGTCGTAAAATACATTCGGACATATTACTATTATCAAAATGTAAAAAACTATGAAGACGTGGTACATATAACAACAATATTGACGATCATAAAACTATTTTATAGAAAAATATTTTCTCTATTTCAGTGACAATAAAATATAATTGACGCCATGCAAGGACGGATTTAAACAAAACAAAATAATATTACTGCGATTTACCTGAATACATGGTGTCTACTTTCTGATATTGCAATTTACAAAACAATATAATATGTGAAAAAACTAGGTTATAAACGGCAAGCGAGGGTATTTGGTAGCGGATAAAAGACCTCTATGGGAACAATTTGATTATTTGGCGGCAGATAATATCCGAGCGTAAGCGAGGTTATTTTTAGCCTGACATGTAGTCGTGAGTGGTGCCCTCAACGGCCGAACGGCGCCAGACCTCTCTCTCTAACGCCTGACAGAATAGGTGTATGTGTCGTCGGCAAGATCAATACTGTGAATTCGCAAGGTTCACACCTTCTTGCAATGAGTTTCAATAAATATTCATTTGGGTTGTCATGGTAACACCGGGGAGGGCGCAACTCACGCGACCTTGTCAGGCTAGGTTATTAACTGCCCCGAATATTCTAATTTGAAATATGCTAATATGAACTATCAAATATCCAAGCGTGCCGTTTAACCTCATTATAACATGCTCGGACAAGAAATCTGCAACAAAATAGCTGTTTATATCACGTTGCTAAGTGTAAATTTCTAATTCTTTCAATGTCCTTTCTATTATTGTAAGAGATGACGAATGACCATGTTTTTTTAAAACACCTAATTCTGAAAACATAATACCCGGATTTTCACTACACTAGTATTGCGATATATCATAATTTTCATTTAGATTGTGGGTTTTATTAGTGTAAGCTGGCATTCTAATACATTTTGAGTGATCAGAATTTGCCCGACGTTTTAGATTTCGTATTCAGATCCCAGAGCTAAAGAACATACCCATACCCGTAGATGGAAGCGGCGCATGACAATAGTACGATAGTACATTTCAACGAACTAGAGTTAAAACCGATCAAACACTATTTCCGCAAATAATATAAGTAAAAAAAGTTTTTAGTTGTGATTCTTCGCATTTACCTTGATTTACGAAACAAATCCAGTGACAACGACGGACGCGTGGTTGACGTCTCATGTACGATTCAAATGCTATGTTTCAATGAAGGCGCCCTTCCTCGCGCCTCACGGTGAGTTTTCTTCAATGTATTATCATTTTATTTTTGGCAATAGTAATTCGTAATAGGTTTCTCTGTTTTGATCAGTAGATCACATGTCCGCAATTAAAATGAACAGTGTTCACAGTCGTCAGTGTGATATCGATTCAGTTAGATATTTCCGCGTTTATTCAGTTTTGGAACAGGGTCACAGGTCTTCTAGTGCCAGGTATAAGACGTTGCTTCATCTAATGATATAGATAGATTTGGACTGATCATATTATATGGAAGTAAAATAGAACACTAACCCGTCAGTAATCATAAATATAAAATGATTCTAGAAGACATATCTGTTTAATATTGCACATCCATACTTGGGACGGTCTATACCGTTACATTGATATGTAATTTTACAGCCCAGTGTTTCTCTGTTTAATATCCTGAATAAATAAATTAAGAGTTTTTGAGTTTGTCGCTCATGTAAATGACTAATTAATTAAATAATCATGCCGGTAGATTCACTCAGGGCTTGACCTGCCAGGACTTGTGAGAACTTGGACTATGAATTGATGCAATGGCATCTACGTTTAATTTGATAATAATAAACTAATGTTCGTATATTATCGAACTTAATTAATTGCGTTACAGTTTTCCGTCAGATAAATTTTCCTGGTATACAACTGTGTATACTACACCAGTTTCAATCTGATACGTGATTCACAAGTACACTTCTCCTGTCGCGCCCTCAAGAGACGAAGAAATCTGTGACGTAGAAATAACATTTAAGGTGGAAAGAATTTTTGTTCACCTTGAGAAATCGGATTGATAACGTCACTATCCGGAGAGGTTATGTGTAAAATGATAGATTACTTATTGTTTGTAGAAATTTGAGTTGTGAAAGTTTCTAAAATTGACCTGTAAGGGTCTGCTAATTCATTGGATTAACTTATTACTAGTATAAATACAGTATATATAATAACTATAAAATATAAAATTGGGCGAGCATCAATCCAGATATACTGTAGGCTGTGTGCTAGTATTATAATGTTCGATTTCTCGTGACGTGGAAATTGTGCATTGTGGCTGACTTAATTATATCAACGACATTTCATAGGCCTCAATCGGTGTTAACAGTGCACCTGTATTTTCATCCGTAGTAGTTGTACCAATGCCTAGGGTACTTTGCTCGCCGCTAAGGGAGCGGACTTTTGTAAGAGTGGCAGACGTTTCTTCGGAAGTCTTCAAATCTTTCAGAGAGTGAACTCTCGTTATTGCGCTCTTTCTGTAAAATGAATAGAACATGGGTAATTAGTCTGATGTACATTCGTGATAATATTACGTAGTTCAAATGACGTCACTAAATATGTGGTAGTCTTTTTGTGGATACAGCGCCATCAAACTGTTCTATCGTAAAGAATGTGGGTATTTATTAGGGCGAATGCTATTGCTTGTGCGATTTTGCGCCGAAAAATAATTGGTAAGGCAATTTTCCTGTGATTCATAACAACTAACCGAAATAGTCAAATGCATTTTGAGCTTGAAACGTCGTCTATATTTGAGAATGTGCGTTCTGTGATTACATCAATTCTCGTAGTCGTGACTGAACGGTCTGGCTAATACATGTGTGTTTACATCATACACGTAGTGTCATTTACGTGGCGGCAAACTCTCTGAAACTGTGTGGTCCACATACTTACTTTTTGTATAGAATGGCGACAGTGGCGATGACAGCGATGGCCACCACACACCCAACCACAGCACCGATTATAACACCCGTATTGTCCACTAGAAACAAGCATCAAATGAGAGCCTAATTAACAAGCGCTGACACGTAATAACTCCCATACCACACATTATGTTACGCACGTGAGTCCATAGCTCTTCTTGTGTCGGTCATTGTGGTGGTATTTGAGTCATTTCTGGTACATTTAGCGTCATTAAATTTGTTATTTTCAGACATTAGGATTGTTATCGACACAGAAGAGCGATAGTTCCTCCCATAGACTTGCGTAACACACACGTGCGACGACAAATGGCATCGCAAATAAAAGTCGACAAAAGTAGAATATGTTCTCGCATCACACCATCGAAGCTAACGCAAATCGATAATATGTTTAGTAAAATTTTATTAAAACCAAAACCGTGACAAAAAACATTAGTTTGATTTTCAAACCATTAGTTTGATGTGCAATCAAAATGCTCTGTGATTACAAATACTAGAAAAACTAAGCTGGCTATAACTTTAAAGGGCGGTGGTCGTCGCAGCGCGTCCTGTTCGATATAGATTG